TGCTATTATTTCCTGAGCTATTGGAGTCCTACTCTCTTGTATATGCTTTTATGTTCCAGTGTTTTTCCTATGCTTTCCTGTAGTAGTTTCAGGTCTTACATTAGGGTCTTTGATCCATTTTGAATTGATTTTCATACAGGGTGAAAGACTGGGATCTAGTTTCAGTCTTCGTCAAGTGGAGATCCAAATTCCCAACACCATTTGTTGAGGAGGCTGTCTTTACTCCAATGTATGTTTTCAGCACCTTTGTCAAAATCAGATAATGTAACTGTGTGAGCTTACTTCTGGGTCTTCTATTCAAATGATCTATGTGTCGCCTTTGTGCCAGTTCCATGCTGTTTTTGTTACTATTGCTCTGTAGTATAGTTTGGAGTCAGATATTGTGATACCTCTAATATTGTTCTTTTCACTCAGAATTGCTTTTTCTATTTGGGGTCTTTTTTGCTTCCATATGAATTATAGGATTGTTTTTCTACTTCTGTGAAAATGACACTGGAATTTTCATGGGGCTTGCATTGACTCATAGATTGATTTCAGTGGTGTAGCCATTTTCACAATATTGATTCTGCCAATCCATGAACATGGGGGGCCTTTCTATCTTCTAGTGTCTGTCAATTTCTCCCCTCAGTGTTTTATAGTTTTCATTGGAGAGGTCTTTCACCTCCTTAGTTAAATTTATTCCCAGGTATTTTTTTCAGGTTATTATAAATGGGATTATTTTCCTGATTTCTTTCTCAGCCTGTTTGCTGTTGGTATATAGAAAAGCTGCTGGGTTGATTTTATATCCTTCTACTTTGCCAAAAGTACTTGTCAGATCTAAGAGGTTTTTGGTGGAATCTTTAGGATCTTTTAAGTATAGGATCACATCAACTGTAAATAGAGATAATTTGACATCTTTTTTTCTTATTTGAGGAACAGTGGATTTAGTTCTTCTGAACAAGCCTGATAGAATTCAGGTGTGAGTCCATCCAGTCCTGGGCTTTTCTTTGTTGGAAAAGTCTTTATTACTGCTTCCATTACCATTGCTTGTTATAGATTTGTTTGGTGGTTTATATCCTCTTGGATATAATTTTGGTAGATCACGTGCACTTAGAAACATGTCCATTTTTTCTAGATTTTCAAGTCTATTAGAACATAGATTTAGAAGTATCCCCTAATGCTGTGCTCAGATTCATTAGTATTTGTTACGTTACCTTTCTCATCCTTAATTTGATTAGTTTTTGTCTTCTTCCTTTTACTTTTGGTTAATTTGACTGAGGGCTTGTTAATCTTTTAAAAGATTCAACTTTGTACTGTTTGTTTAGTCTCCATTTCATTAATTTCTGCTCTGGTCTTTATTATTTCTTTCTGTCTACTGTTTTGGGGGTTGGCTTGTTCTTGTTTTTCTAAGAGCTTGAGGTTATATATGAGATCTCTCTTATTTTTTTTAATGAAGGCACTCACAGCTATGAACTTTCCTTTTAGTACTGACTTTGCTGTATCCTAAAAGTTCTGGTAAGTTGCGTTTTCATTTTCACTTGATTCTAGAAAATTTTTGATTTCCTTCTTATTTATTCGATGACCCACTGTTCAAGATTGAATTATTAGCTGAGAGTGGTGGAACATGCCTGTAATCCCAGCACTTGGGAGGCCAAGTCAAGAGGATTTCAAGTTTGAGGATAGCCTGAGCTACATAGTGACATACTGTTTTTAAAACAGTGACTTGTTCAGTATCCATGTATTTGGAAATTTTCTGTGGTTTCTCTTGTTATTGATTTCTAGTTTTTATTCTACTGCTGTCTGGTAAAATACAAGAAATTATTGCAATTTTCCTATTCATTAAGACTTGCTTTATGTCCTAGGATATGATCTATTTAGAGAAAGGTTCATGGATTGTTGAGAAGACTGTGTATTCTGTGACTGTGCCTGTTAAGTCCGTTTGATCTATAGTGTTAATTCCTTGCTGATGTTTTTGTCTGGATGACCTGTTGGTGAGAGTCAAGTATTAAAGTCACCCACTATTGTTGTGTTAGGAGGTCTATCTGTGTTTTTATGTGAAGTAGTGTTTGCACCAACTTTTGGCATGTATATGTTTATAATTGCTATATCCTCCTGATGGATGGTTCCCTTTATTAATATGAAATGACCTTCTTTGTTTCTTCTAATTTTGGTTTGAAGTCTTTGCCAGTGAGGTGCATTTCTTGTAAGCAACAAATGATCAGGTCTTGTTTTTTCAATCCAGTCCACCATGCTGTGTCTTTTGATTGGATAATTTAGATCATTAATATTCAGAGTTATTATTGAAAGCTATGTGGAAGTTCCTGCCATTTTATTGGTTTTGTGGTGTTTGATTTTTCCTTACTCCTCATTTGCTTGTATACTCATCTAGTGAGATTTAGTTTTACCCATATTTTTATGACTGTGTTTATCATCCACCTCTGTGTATAGGATTCCTTTAAGTATCTTCTGAAGCACTGGTTTAGTAGTCATGAATTGCTTTATTTTTTTAAATCATGGAAGGTTTTTATTTCTCCTTCAATTATGAAGGATAGCTTTGCTGGGCATAATAATCTAGACTAGCATTTATTTTTTTCAGGGCTTGAAATACATCATTTCATGCCCTCCTTGCTTTTAAAGTTTCTATTGAGAAATACACTGTTACCCTAATGGATTTGCTTATAGGTGACTTGGCACATCCTCTTGCAGCTTTCAATACTCTTTGCTTGTTCCATATGCCTACTATTTTAACTATAATATGATGCAGGGAGGTTCTTTTCTGCTCTTGTCTCTTTGGAGTCCTAAAAGCCTCCTGTACCCGGATGACCAACTCTTTTTCAAGATTCAGGAAATTTTTTTGACAGGTACCAGTGGCTCACACCTGTAGCATAGCTACTCAGGAGGCAGAGATCAGGAAGATCACTGTCCGAAGTCAACCCCAGGCAAATAGTTCACAAGATCCTATCTCAAAATAAACCTGTCACAAAAAAAAGGCTGGTGAAGTGGTTCAAGCAATAGGAGTGCTGCCTAGAAAGCATGAGGCCCTGAGTTCAAACCCCAGTACTGCCAAAAAAATAGGGGAGATTTTCTATTTTATTGAATATGTTTTCTATGCCTTTAGCTTGCACCTCTTCTCCTTCTATGCCCATGATTCATAGGTTTGCTCTTTTAATGGTGTCCCAGAGGTCTTACATGCTCCATTTCTTCCATTCCTACTTCTTTAGTTTTTTTCTCTATCTTCATCTGCATGTTCTGATACATCTACCTTGCTTGAGTGAGCCTAATGCTCTGTCTTAAAGTAGATCCAGTCTACTAGAGAGAACTTCTGAGCTTATTTGGTTTGCTGAGCTTTTAATTTCCAGAGTTTCAATTTGATATTTTTTTCAGAATTTCTATATCTTTATTGAATTCTCTTTCATGTCCTGCATTGTCTTATTTCATTCTGCTCCTCGAGATTTCTTGGAGTTGATCCTAGTATTTACTTGTGTCCTCTTAAATTTCATTGATCATTCTTATAATCACTTTTTTTAATTCTTTGCCTGACATTCCATCCACTGCACTATCATTAGTGTGTATTACTAAGAAGTTGTTGAGACTTAGAGACATCATTCTGCCTCATTTTTTCATATTTCTTGTGTTTCTACATTAAGATTTGTGCATCTGAGCCCAAGTCATTGTTGGAAGTTTTAATTGCCTATAGTCTTTCAGTATGAAATAGTCTCAATATTTAGGTGGGACCAGGCTCAGGTGTAGTGTAATGGCCATGTTGAGGTCCATTTCTCAACACTGGACTAGAAGTAGAGCCTAGTAGTCAAGCATTTGCCCATGTGACCAGGATACTGGGCCTAATCTCCAGCACTACTCAGATAGAGGTAAAACTAGCTGGAGTCTCAGAGGGTGGGTTGTACACTTCTGGGTTGATTTCACTTTAAAAGCTTCCCTTCTTTTGTATACTAGGAGCCACTGCTGGCTGCAGGGAGCTTTATAGCCTATAGGCTAGGCAGGTTCCCATTTGCTCCACAATCTCTCCCCAGTTTGTGTACCCAGGAGTAGCAAGTATCCAAAGCTTGGAGTGACCCCTGAATGCATCAGAGAGTGGGGGAACAAACAGAGCACTGAATTCTGCCCTGACTGGAGGAGAATTGAGGGACCTAGTCACTCTGCCTTTGGGTCTCAATACTTACAGACCCTGTCCAGTAGTTTACCATGCTTTGGGAGGAGGGAGCTATGGAAGTCTTGTGATTCAGAGGGTCTGAACCCAGGGTTCTTAGTCCTTCCTGGCAGCAAACACATGGGGATTCAGTCTCTAGATGTGGGCCTCAGTGCTTTCAGATCCTTGCCCAGCAGTTCACCTCTACGCATGGAGGAGGAAGCTATGGATATCATGTGATTTATAGAGTCTGGGCTCAGGGCCTTCAGACACACTTAGCAGCCAACACTTTCAGCTAGGAGGTAGATCCTGAAGGCCAAATACTATGCCAGCCACAGGCCTGGTGCTTTGTTTCCATCATAACAGGCAATTGGACTCACTTCTCCTCAGGGAGAGCAGAGCATCTGACCACGATGCCATTCACTGCTGGAGCTCCCCACTGTTGAACTTCTGTGTGGAACCATGTCAGACCATCTCCCTCCACATGACCATCTCTCACAACTGTCTCCCACCCAGACACTGTTAGGGTATCCCAAGACTCCCTGAGCCATGATTAGTTTTCAAGCCCCCAGAGTATCTCATTCTCAAACAATAGTCCCCCTCTCAAGATGATGTCTCGCTCTCAAAAATGTGGGGAGTCAAAAGTCATCTACATGTTTAATGCAATTCCCATCAAAATTCCAATGACATTCATTAAAGAGATTGAAAAATCTACTGTTAAATTTATATAGAAACACAAGAGGCCATGAATAGCCAAGGCAATA